GTTGCTTGTTAGGGACCTAATCACTCTAGAGAGCTCATGCTGCGACTCCTCGATATTGGTGGGGGAGGGTTTAGGCGATCGGGAGGTGCTGATGAACGTGGAGTGTCTGGTTTGATTGACTCGTGTGTAGGTTCGCCGTTCTCGGGAGGGAGACGTCGTCCCTTCTCCCCACCTCCATCGTCATCACGTCGTCGCAGTAGGAGTCGTAGTGAGGGCAGATCGAGAAGGTAGTGGAATGCAGGGGGAGTGTTAGAGGGAGTAGCTGTGGTTGCTTTGGTTGTAGACCATCGTCGCCTCCAGCATATCGCAGACCCCATCGTGGACGTCATGGCAACAGTCGATCGGGCAGTAGGGAGAGGAATGAGCATAGCTCGTCGAGGCGACACAGTAGTGATGGAGAGGGAGGGGAGGGAGTTGAGATTTGAGTTTAGGTCGCTATGATAGGAGTCGATCACGATAGAGTGGGGCCTCACCTGAATCTAGGTGTTATCTACAACGGTGATGATGATAATGCTGAGAATAGAGTACCTTATGTCAGCTTGTAGACGATCGATAGATCTTACACAATATTGAAGGCTTGTTGTGTTGGTAGTGACGACTTGAGGAGGGAGCGCAGGTTGGAAGCGGTATTAGAGCATTCCTATTAAAATTGAATGGATGGTTCGAAATGGTCAATGGTCAACATCGCGGTCAGTTTAATATATCTAGTAATTTGCGAGGAAAAATGCCTATCGAAATGAGTTTTTACAGGAAATTTTTGTGGAAAATTACCCGAAATTCTCATGGTATAACTGAGTTTAGTTAAACGAGACGGTTAATTGTGTCATAATAACGATTATTAGTAAGCTGGAAATACGGTTGTGTTTGTTAGAAAAGATCCATTTGATCATCTACTTGTAAGTTGGCAATTACGGGGTTCCTGCGAATTTACTAATCACTTGGAAACGAGTGCTTGTGGTGTTTTTTGGCAGTAGTAGAGCATGGCGGACTCCTCGGAAGGAGAGGGGAGTAGTAGTGGGATGGAACGATGGCCTGGAGTCGATCTAGAAGATGTGAATGAGTTGACGAGGGAATATAGGAGGAAGACTCAGGTGAGGTCCCTGTCGGAGGGCGGTGGAATTGTATGCACATGGTCAACGTCTACATGTGCTGTTGACAATATCAAGAATTTGGGGAAATTTCGTGGGGAAGATGAATCGTGGATGAACTCCTATGATTAGTGAGGGAACTCATGAGCTCAGCTGAGGAAGCGAACATATATTCCAACAACACTGGAAGAAACGTTGTGTTATTATCAGGCCAATACCGACCCCTATATGGCATTGCTTTATCCCGATAAAGATCCATCGGAGTACTCTAGCCTGCCATTGGCGGCCTGTGTTATGGACTACCTACCAACCATATGTGCCAACTACACTGTGGAAAGAGTGAATGCTGAGGTAGTGGGATGCTGGTGGGGAGGCACGGTGGAATGTATTGGGAGTAGGCGTCCGGCATAGAAGTGGACATTGCTCGGACCAAGGATGAGATGGAGAGTCTTGCTGTGAACAACTACAAGGCGTTTATAACAGCGGCTAAGGTGGGTCGGAGGTTCGGCTAGGTTTGGTGAGAGGAACGGTATGTAGTTATGCATTGTGTTTTGTTGGATGAGAAACTTTGTGTGCACAACTGTTTTTTGAGTGGAAACTGAATTATACACGTTTGATGACATGGTAGATTATACGGGCCGTAGGGAAAACGGTTTATCAACTGTAACCAGCGAAATTAGTTCATCTGTTGAGTGTAAGTAACTGAGAATGGTTATCCTTACACTATTGATGTTAGTTGTGCTCTTTAGTCACCAGCTATGCCCTCGCACGGTTGCACGCATATACAATAGCCTCACCTTGATATAGTTTTACTTGGGAAGGGTTTGAGATCAGGTCCTGCGTCGAGTCGATAAAGATGTACTTCAGGCGAGAGAGGATCTACAGACTTTTGGGAAGGGACTTGATCCTGTGGAAGTGGGCAGGGACGGCTTCGTGGTGTCTTTGTGTGGGGGAATATATGTTTGCTTCCCCCACCTATTATACAATTTTATACACGTATTGATGTTGAAGTGTATAGAGAACAGTGCCCCAAAACCCCCCACATAATCCCTGTATTGTCACCAACGCATGTAGTTGTGACCTTTGCCTGATGACTAGACGGCGTTGTGAAGAAGGTTTTGGTGAGAGCGAGCAACATTATCGATTTTGAGGTGAAGAAATATTCCTTGTTGTTTTTTTCTCTGGAATCACCCTCATGTGTGTGCGATAAAACGCGAAAAGGAATCGAGACTAGAGACTTCCTCAATGTTTTGATTCTCGGCAGCTACTTGTTCGAATTTATTAGCTTTATAGAAGACAAATGTTGTTCATGGTGTGGTCATGGCTGTGTTCAGGAGTCCCTCAGTTCACTGAGAGGAAGGAAGTCGAAGGAGCTGAGCGCCAAGAAGGCTGCATTACGACAAGTTATGAACCACTCTGGTGTACATGAACTACTTGAGCTGCCAGCGCTCATTGATGCCACTGTACGTATATGGCCTTTCTGCTGTCACTTGAGTGTGAATTTTGATCGCGGTGTATAGGATTCGGTTAGTGGGTGACAGTGTGGGAAAAGAGGCACATGGTTGATGACAATGAGAAAATTTTGAGCGAATTTTAGGAATTCTCGCTGGTTTTTGGGCTCTCCCGACCGAGGTTGAACTCCTATGAACTTCTATGAACTTGTGAGCTCAGCTGAGGGAGTCAAACGTATACCCCAACACTGATGAGTTCTCAATGTGCGTGAATAATATGAGCGATTTTGTATCATTCGACCTTCGAGACGAAGAAGCGGAGCTCGTTTTTTCCAAGTAGTCCGTTTATTGGTCACGATGATCGCTGTGAAGTGAGCTGCTTGAAATTGATTTTCAAATGCGCTGTCAGTTGCGCCATAAGTGATCATTTGCTGCGTTCATCAGATACGCAATAAGCTCTATCGGGAGGCCTTAGAGCTGCTCAGCTTTGCTGATAAGACGCTGCAATCCCTCACTACGGCCGTCACTGCTGACGATGTACCGAGTATCCTGATAACACTGAGGCAACAGGTGGACGCGCAAAGTGAGCTGGGTTTTGGGCTGCCGCATAGTGTGGCCTGCACGCACGCACGGACGTAGCGCGTCGTTGATTGTTCATCTGGAAAGAGCGCAATTTGAGCAATTTTATGTTCCCAACTTTTGAAAAACGACAGTCAACAATTAATTCAATAAGTAGTACTTACAAGTACAACTAAGTGATCAATACACTTTGTGCGTTGAGGGAAAATCCAAGAGCAAACTGCCCAGCCGACTCGCCCGTCCTTTCCCAGGATGGAGTTGTCTTGTAGGAGTACCTCCCCCCTGGTTGATCGATTTTATTTCCTTCTTGATGAGACGCGAGGAAATTCCTTCTTCACTGGAGTTTCACCCGTGATATGAAAAACACTAGTGAAAAACATACTCTACGACTACTGCATATCACCGCGAATATCGGGTTTTTCACCGAGTTTTACGCCACTTCATGTAGAACGGGTGAAACTCCACTATTTTACTCCTCAGTTCGATAATACGAAGGTCGAAGAATAAATTGCCATTTTTTTCTTCACATAGATATTACATGAAAAACTACTCCTGTGCACTAAGTTTTCCTCCTTTTGTGAATTTACAGCGGACAAATCTTTGACGTATTTTCTAGAGTGTTTATTGGAAGTGCTGTCTCAGGATCACATCTGTTGTCATCGCTGATCTCCCAGCTCGGCTCGCCTCAGCTACAGCTACCTCAAGCGGTACCAGTCGTGAATCATTTGCGCCGGGTGAGAGTTGCCTTTATTACATTTGAACTTTAGCGGCAGTTTTGGAATATATGTTCGCTTCCCTTAACTGAGCTCAACTGTTTCCTAATTGATCATAATAGTTCACATACGAATTTGGGTGAACGTGTATAGAAGCTAGTAAGAATTCCCAAGTAAATTTGCTCAGAATTGTCACATTTTCATCGACACATAGTCGATCATGTCCATTTTTCCCATCATTGGTTATTGGTGGGCGTAGGTGCTTCCCACGGTACTGCCGAATGGTGGCTCCTCGACACAGCAAGTGGAGATGATCATTCGGGTGGCATTTCTCACCCAGAGGTGGGATTAGTGGAGAGTGATCACATAGGGCATGCCTCCAAGGTTGGTGACTCAGGTGTCAGTATGTGGACCAGCAGAAGGAGAGCATAGACGCGCAAACGAATTCTGCAAAGGGCGATGCATTGCTGTAAGTTCTGTCGTTCCTGAAAAACATTATAGGTCACTGTATCACATGATCATTAGTATATATCATCTGTGGTATTACATGTGTAGATTGGAATTGGTATATGACTTAGTTATGTGAAAAATATTACAAATATAGTCATAATGGCTATATGTGTAATATTTTTCTGAGAGGTGTAGCTTTTGGAGGAGATCAAACTTGATGCGTTTGTTGTGGATTTTATGTTGTTAGGAACACCTTACGAGCTGCCTCGGACCTATTACGTGCTTATGTTTTCGATACAGCAATGCAGTACCGCTCTCTTTTCAACTCGCCTGAGGTCCAGGTCGATCCTCTCGCAGTATGGATGAGCTCCCAAGTGATGAGGAAGCATATAGTCTGTTGAATGCAGTCTTGGCGCGTTAGGTGTCATGGTTCGTCTCGTTGATATCGAGTTTCGTCACTGTACCTGTTGATGCCTCTGAGCAAATACCCTTCGGTGCACTACAGTTGGCTGCACTGTATAGGTGGGTAGAGGCTGTGCTATGGAGCTGAAGCGTTTTAACTGTACACGGAATTAAGATGATATCCACCGTGTCGTGGGAACTCACGGTGAACGCTCACTGAAAGCTGGAAATGTGTTTGTGTGTGTATGTGTAGCTGGCGCATGCGCAGTGGGTGTACGCGGACAGCTACACGACTCCCGCAGCGTGTGCTGTAATTGTATTGTGACGAGTATCTCGTCTTCACTCGAGACTAGTTCATGAGCCTTATCATCATGTCTGAGTTCAATACGCCAATCGGGGATGGCACGATAGAGGAGGATGCTTCTAACAGTATGCTCTAACTTTCTAGTGTCGATGAGTACCGTGACCCGTAATCACGAAATTTCAATGGGGTTCGACTGCTGAGTAGGATATTATCTCGCTTGTAGGTATTGTTCCCATGCCTCATCGGCACTTAGCCGTGTTGGGTGTGCGTTCATGCCGCTCATCGAGCCTCTCTTGGACGCCTATTTGCAGCAGTATATATGTAAAGTGTGTTTGGAACAGATTGCTATGGAGGACTTCAACTTGGAGATGCAAAAGTATTTGGGTCTTTCCCTTCATCCATTGCGATAAGTCTCGCTGTTTTACTTGTTGCTGTCCAGAGTCGTCACTAAACTGACGAAGTGAGAAGAAGAGTGGTGGTATTGTGATCAGGTATCACTGGTTA